TTATTGAGTCAATTGGATCTTGATCAAATTCTCTTGATTTCTGCTTTAACCTATGATAGATAGAATCTGATTAGGTTAAGAGAGCTTCCTTGATTGATAGTAGTGAATTGGTTGTGCGAGAGTCAATCAATTCACTGCTTTGTACTGGAATTCATTCCAGTAGTGGAGATCTGTGTGAATCGCCTTAGCAGTCTATCCTGGTGAAGGCTAGTCGCCTGCCGGGTATTCTGTCTGAGAGGGCTTGGTCAGCTTAAGAGATTCCAAGCTAATTTAGGATCTTCCGCAGTTTAATCAACAGTAGATCAACCAAAGGTAATTGCAACTTGGACCTAATTGAGGAGCTAGGGGAAATCATACCTAAGTGAGTTCCCAACTTGTAATTAGTAGAGTAGTCAGTAGAGTAGTTTATATCAATCCTTAATCTAGTTTGCTAGATAATGAACTGAAGCTGAGTAATAGTAACTCTAGAGACCCGTGGATTCGATATTTATTACTTGTGCCACTATACTGCAGTCCCTTTCATTGGTTACACTTGGCCATTGTTAGGTGTTGTGTTTTAGCGAGTCAGTTGCCTTCTTCGAGCGAGTCGGAATCGAAGAAATCTATGGCGGAGCCCTCGTCTACGCCGTCGATTCCACCGGCGAGATCACACAATCCTCGCAATCAAGGCCTGTGTTTCAAATGCGGGGATAAGTACTTTTACGGCCATGTCTGTGCTTCGAAGAAACAGATCCAAGTGCTGCAAGCGGATGAATCTCTTGTGGATAGTGATGACGAGATTGTGGATCTCGTTCGTTCGGCTGATGGCCCGGAGGAGGTTGAAGTTTCGATGCAGGCTCTCGGCTCGGGATCTGTTGGCCGGGCGTTGCAGATTCCGGCGCGAATTGGTCGTCAGGAGGTGGTGGTTTTGATCGATACCGGGAGTAGCCATACTTTCCTCAGTGAGACCAGAGCTTCCGAGTTGGGATGTAAACTCGACTCAGCCCCACCGATGCGAGTCAAGGTTGCGAACGGGTCGGCTTTACTCAGTAACTCGGTGTGCCGCGATTTTCGGTGGCGGATGCAGGGAACGGAGTTTGCGTTTGACGTACGCACCCTGGATTTGCGGGCTCATGATTTGGTGCTGGGCCTGGACTGGCTAGAGACTGTTAGCCCAATTCAATTCGACCTGAAGCAAAGGCAAATGTCATTTGAGTGGAAGGGGAAGCCACTGACGTTGCAAGGCTTGGTGGCGGAGGCCCAATGTAAGTTGTTGACAGGCAAGTCCTTCCATCGGCTGCTGAAGAAAAAAGTTGCTCAGTTCACAGGTCACCTTTTTTCCCTTTCCCCTGCCGTTTCCTCTCCTTCTTCCTCCACTCCTCCTCCTTTCCTTCAACCCTTGCTCACCCAGTTCTCTGATGTATTCTCCACCCCGACCTCCCTTCCACCACCTCGCCAATTTGACCATGCTATTCCTATTGATCCCATGTCCAAGCCCATCAACATCCGACCCTATCGCATACCCCATCACCAAAACGAGGTCGTCGATAAAATGGTCGGCGAGATGCTGATTTCCCACTTCATTCAACCCAGCCAAAGTCCCTATGCCGCCCCTGTTCTGTTGATTGGCAAGAAAGACGGGACCTGGCGTTTCTGTGTTGATTACCGCCTTCTGAACTCCATCACCATCAAAAACAAATTTCCTATTCCCATCATTGATGACCTGCTTGATGAACTCAATGGAGCCAAGTTTTTTTCCAAACTGGATTTGAGGGCGGGGTACCATCAAATCAGGATGAAGCCAGAAGATCGACACAAAACGGCTTTTCGTACACATCAGGGCCATTACGAATTTCTGGTTATGCCGTTCGGCTTGACCAATGCGCCGGCGACTTTCCAGGCCCTCATGAATCATGTTTTTGCTCCATACCTCCGCAAGTTCATTCTGGTCTTCTTCGACGATATCTTGGTTTATAGCCCAACAGCTGATCTTCATCAGGAGCACCTTCATTGCACTCTCCTTTTGCTCCGCCAACATCAACTCTATGCTAAGCTGTCGAAGTGCTCGTTCGGGCAGCCTCAGGTGGAATACCTTGGTCATGTGATTGGTGCGACTGGGGTGTCCACGGAGCCAAGCAAGATTAGTGCGATGGTGAATTGGCCAACTCCGACGACAGTCAAAGCTTTGCGAGGATTTCTTGGGCTCACGGGCTATTATCGGAAGTTCGTCCGTCATTACGGCATCATCAGTCGGCCCCTCACCGAGTTGCTGAAGAGGAACTCTTTCAAATGGTCAGCTGCGGCTCAAGAGGCTTTCCTGTCTTTAAAGGCTGCTATGAGTTCTGCTCCGGTGTTGGCTCTCCCGGATTTTTCCCTCCCCTTCACTCTGGAAACTGATGCTTGTGATTCAGGGGCGGGTGCTGTTCTTTCCCAGCAGGGCAGACCAATAGCCTACTTCAGTAAACCATTCGGTGTGAAGAATCAGGGGCGAAGTACTTACGAGAAGGAGTACTTAGCCGTCCTCATGGCTGTCGACCAATGGCGTCACTACTTAGAAGGTCGTCCGTTTACGATTCTGACCGATCACGAAAGCTTGAAATTTCTTGTAACATCCCGTATCTAGGTTAAATCTCACATCAAACCGGTTCGACGTTGGAACAAAGAACACCAACAATAGTTGAAATGAATTCTACCGGTTTGGAAGAACTACGAGTACTCGTCAATTAAAGACGTGAAAAATCGAGAGAATAAATATGGCATGAAAGAATTATAATGAGGGAGAAAATACGAACGCGTCTCAAACATGAAAAGAGTATAAAAATAAAGTCAGGGCCAAGATTCGACCCAGTGACCTGAAGTCACTAAACTATCACCGCCACCAGTTAGACTAGGAGGTGTTCGTGTCAATGAAATTCCTCTTAAGTTTAATTGAATGTTATCTAACGGGATTTACATATGAAGAAAGGGACAAAGCCTGGAGCTCCATGTTGTGGCTATTCATTCCATTGCAATAATAGCCGCCAGCATCATATATAATTATATAGTCGTCAACTCTTGGAAACGAAGACAACCACGTCACTCATGTATTATTTCTGTACAAATAATTCTAACTGATTAATCAATGCATGAGCTGGGCGACGTTAATATTCAACAACCATATTGTCGACAACTGACGCCACCGGAATGCTATATATAGTGAGAACCGAAGCTCAACACAAGGAAGGAAATAGGGAGAGAGAGATCAGTAAGAGTGTTGAGTGTTCTGGGTTTGGGAGGTCACCATAAGGTTCTGGGGAGGTCCCCCACGAAGCTAGAGGCGTCGTTGAAGCCTTGTCGGAGCCTCACCGGAGTTTCGTCGATATCCCGTGACGGCGACGACGTCAACTTCGACCTCAACCATTCTGTGAATGGTTGGTACCGTTACGAAGAGGACGATCCCAGGAGCACGCACGTTTCAACGGAATCAATTTTCGACGTCGGACGAGGGAGAACCGAGCCTCGCAAGCTGGCCACGTAGAACTGTCAGTTTCTGAAAATCAGGTACTGTTTCTGTCAATTCGAAAAGTTTGAGGACCTAGGCGGACGTTTTCCATAGGAAGGGTCAACTCTCTGGTTGACCAGAAAATTATAAATTCAGTACCTGTTACTTCCAGAACTGACAGAATTCGTATTTTGGCCATGATTTGTTCGTTTGACGTCCAAACGACGAACCGTTTTCGCCTACAGGATCGTAAAGACGAGGAGAATTTTATCAAGGAGTATTGGAAATTTTTACAGAAGCTGTGCAGAGTAGATTTACGTCATAAATAAGGTGTGTGGACCCTGCGGTGAATAGGCGGTGTTTTACTACGTGCTATGTGTTTAATATTGAAACATAGCTGAGGATTTAACGAAGATAAAATGAAGAATGTCATTATTATGATTTTGATACTCGAATAGAATTGGATGATTCATAATCGAGTATTTGGAAATTTACGATTTTGTAATTGATCCCTACGAGTCGTGGAATTCCTTGAGACTACGTTGTTACTATTTCAATAATTGATGACGTGATTTCATGCCATGAGTTATGTGAAATTCCGACTACGATATAATAATGCTCCTAATAAGACTACTTGGGATAATCATTAAACCACGAACGAATTCGTAATAATTTGAATAATGGACAGCTACCATGGGAGAATTCTGTCTAGGCTAGTGGTTTTTAATCGAGACCTTCGTGGTACTCGTCCACTTACCTGGGAATTCACTCGGTAAACTCTTTGGGAATACGGTTGTAAGAAGTGTACTACGAGTAGTGGCACTCATTCCTCTTCTCGGAGTTTTTACCACGGCGGGTCCGCCATTCGAATTACTCGGTGATTCACCGAATAAATGGTTATCGAACCATGTACGAGGATTTAAACCGTCCATCTTATACGTTGGATGTATGAGAACGATAATGTTTGTGAATGAATTTCTACTTGATAATTTGATGGATGATATGATAATTTTATCGTATGCATGAGATGTAGAAATTAGTGTTTGGCATAGACTTGGTAATTACACCAAGATCGATTGAGATGGATGATTATTATATTGAGATTATGATGAGAATGATGATTTTATATGATGTTCATATTAATCACATAGACTTAGAAAGGGCCTGCATTTACCCCCAACCATTTGATATCATTACTGACGATCATTAGGATCGATGAGGCCAGTGGCCAGAGAGATATGATTGTGGTTTCTGATATAACCATTGAGATGATGAGGCTCGAGCGGGGGGTGGATGTATGGTGACCTTGGCGCCCAAATTAATAAAATGGAAATGCATTGCACTTGCACATTGTTTGGATATTGGATGCTAGGTTGAGAATTATATTAGGTTGAGACTTCAACCTAGATGCCATGATTAGGTGGTTAATCGATTGATGTGGAAAACGTATCCATAGACTTCGCCGTGTAGGAGGGAACAGCGCCACACACTCAGCTAAATTAGTTAGCTGACCCATTCCCCTTTTGTGTTCAGATCCGTAGCAGAGGGACCGAGCTTGGACGTTGGAGCTGTGCAACTGCTACTCCATCATGAGGTAGTGGACGATTGGTCGGAGGAGAGTTTTAACTATGTTTTGTATTTTAAACCAAGTATCATAAACATGTATTATGTTGGATTTGATTGCATCGAACTTGATCGATTGAGTTATTATGATTTATGGATTGTACCAAAGTATGTAAGATGGAGATTTGAGTTTCAACGAACAAGTTTTTGGATTTGATGTCATGAGTTGGATGTTGTATGTTTAATAAATGAGATTGGATATTAATAAATGTGTTAGATTTGAAATATATATATGTTCACCTCGAGTTATGTTTAGTAAACGAAAGTTACATATGTGTTGAATGATGAGTTAATACGTAAACCCCGTTAGTATTTTATGCTGTGCGGGCGAACCAGTGGTTCGACCCATGAGTTTTAGGGTGGGGTGTTACAACTGGTATTAGAGCCTGGTTAGCCTTCTGCATTATAGGTATGTTACTTCCACCCCTGAGGACTAGCTACCCTTAGCAAGGGAGAAGTACTCCATACCCGTACTTGCACTAGCCTAGCTGGGGACTGAGACTAAAACATGATGATGTGTGCATAGTCTGAGTCAGTTACATCGTTTTGAAAAGTTATTTATGTATTTTCGAATGAAATGGGAAAGAGTTCCTACAATTTTATTTAAACCTACCTTTTAAAGCGAGAACTAAAAATTGATTTTTCCTCCTCCATAGTGACCAATCGGAGCATAACAGCTACACACCTCCAGCTGGGAATCCACAAGGGACGGGAGTGACGATGGAAGTATTGTGGAAAAACCGTCTACGCGAATTCAAAGGGGAGTCGACAGATCCCCAAGAAGCGGTTGACTGGCTTAGAGAGACGGACGTACAATTTGACTACCTCCGTTACAACGAGAGGCAGAGACTGGAGGCGTTGATAATGCTTTTAAAAGGACATGCGCTGCGTTGGTGGAAATCTCAAAAGGCTGGAGTAACCTTTCCACCAACCATCTCATATCAGGAGTTCATGGTCTTGTTCAAAAATGCTTTCTTTCCTCGTCAATGGCTAAACCAGAAAAGGCGAGAGTTTGACAACCTGAAGCAAGAAGATAACACGGTCATGGCTTACTACTTGCGGTTCTTTGAACTCTCTGAATGGTTTGATATCGAGGAAGATCGGGAGAGGAGGCTAGCTGAACAATTCCTTGATGGTCTTCGGCCAAACATCAAGGCGGGAGTATCTTCGGGAGACATGACGGACCTAACCAGTATCAAACAGGCTGCACTAAGGAGAGAATGCATAGAGGATGAAAAGAAGCAAGCATGGAAAGAGAAGGGAGAAAAGAGGAAGGCACACACCCAGCCTTCACAATCAGCTGGAAATAACCTGGCTCGAAGGATAAACCAAACCTACAGCGGGCAAGGCATTGCACGTTCAACTACACGTGCCAACACTGGACCTGCCGGATACCCGCCTTGCCAAGTTTGCGGGAGGATGCACATGGGGGCGTGCAGAATGGCGTCCCAATCTATGGGTATTGTATGCTACACTTGTGGTCAACCCGGACACAAGAGTTATCAATGTCCTTCCGGTCGTGCTGCACCTACGCAGTCAGTAGGATCTGTACAAGGACCAAGAGCTCTGTCTGGGAGCGGGGCAAGAAGAGGAAGTCAAGGTGGCAACAACAACTTTAGAGGGACTGGAGCAAATGCTTACCCGCTGGGAAAACAAGGGTCCCAAACAGGAGGACAAGGAGCGGGGACACAATCACAGGGCAGAGTTTTTGCTCTTACTCGTGGTGCTGCTGAGACCGCTCCAGATGTGGTCACCGGTACGATCTCTTTTATGGGCCAGAATTTATATGCATTATTCGATACTGGATCTTCGCACTCCTTCATATCGGAGAAGTGTGCATCAAAATTTCCTATTATGCCGGGAAAACTGAGTACCAGTCTAGGTGTACGAACACCTCTGGGTACTTCAGTAAGGGTAGATCGAATTCTGCCTAATTGTTGTATTAAGATAGAAGAAGTAAAGTTGGAGGCAGAATTAATCATCCTGCCTTTCAACGAATTTGATGTCATACTTGGCATGGACTGGTTATCTCGACATGGAGCTGTGTTGGATTGCCAGAAGAAGGAGGTACGTCTATTTGACGGACTTGGAAGACAAATCATGTTCCAAGGCTTAAGAAGGAGAGAGTCCAAACCAATGGGCTTGATCTCGGCGATGGAAGCATACGCTTTGGTGAGAGAAGGATGTCAAGCATTCCTCGTCCAAGTGGAGACAAAGAATGAGGAAAAGCTGGAGGAAGTCAAGGTCGTAAATGAATTTCAGGATGTATTTCCTGATGATCTCCCCGGAGTCCCCATAGAACGGGAGGTGGATTTTAATATCGAGTTAGTACCTGGTACTGCTCCGATTTCAATTCCACCATACCGAATGGCGCCAGTAGAACTAAAAGAACTCCAAGAACAGTTGCAAGAACTGTTAGACAAAGGGTTCATACGACCAAGTACTTCACCTTGGGGAGCACCAGTCTTGTTCGTGAAGAAGAAAGATGGCTCTATGCGAATGTGCATAGACTACAGAAGGTTGAACAAAGCAACGGTCAAGAATCGATACCCGTTACCTCATATTGACGATCTTTTCGATCAATTACAAGGGTCCTCAGTCTTCTCCAAAATTGACTTGAGATCTGGGTATCATCAACTAAAAGTGGAAGAAAGTACAATACCGTTGACTGCCTTTCGGACAAGATATGGGCATTATGAATTTCTTGTCATGCCATTTGGACTCACAAATGCTCCAGCAGTATTCATGGCTCTCATGAACAAAGTTTTCCATGAATACCTTGACAAATTCGTCATAGTATTCATCGACGACATCCTCATTTATTCAAAGAGTGAGGAAGAACATGTAGAGCATTTGCGGCTGGTATTACAGACTCTACGGGAAGAGAAGTTGTATGCCAAGTTCTCAAAATGTGAATTCTGGATCCAAGAAGTTCTATTCTTGGGACACGTGGTATCGGGAAGAGGAGTAGAAGTTGACCCCAAGAAGATTGAAGCAGTAGTAAACTGGTCTCCACCCAAAGACGTACCACAGTTACGTAGCTTCCTGGGATTGGCAGGCTACTATCGCCGATTTGTGGAAGGTTTCTCCAAAATAGCCTCACCATTGACAAAATTGTTGAGGAAAGAAACCCGATATGTCTGGACGGAAGAATGCCAGAAGAGTTTCGAAGAACTTAAACGAAAGCTTACTTCTGCCCCTATACTGACATTGCCAGTAGAAGGAGGGGAGTATGTCGTTTATAGTGATGCTTCGTATCAAGGTTTGGGTTGTGTGCTGATGCAAAATGGGAAAGTAATTGCTTATGCCTCGAGACAGTTAAGGCCACATGAAGTGAACTACCCAACTCATGATCTGGAATTAGCAGCTGTGGTGTTTGCGTTGAAATTATGGAGACATTATCTTTATGGTGAGACCTTCAAAATTATGACCGACCACAAAAGTCTGAAATACCTCATGGATCAAAGAGAGCTGAATGGTAGACAAAGGCGATGGGTAGAGTTACTCAAAGACTATGACTGCACCATCGATTACCATCCTGGTAAGGCGAATGTTGTTGCTGATGCTTTGAGTCGACGAGAAAGATTGACAACTCTAGTGGAGATGAGGGCCCTGGGTGTGGAGATGCAAGTTGAAGATATCACCACCTTAGTTTCACATCTAAGTATTCGACCGATGTTGCATGATCGAATCAGGATGGGGCAATTAGAAGACCCAGAATGCATAAAAGCACGAGAGAATATTGAAGCAGGAAATGGAAACGGGTATGTAGTGGAAGATGGCATACTCAAGATGAATGGAAGAATGTGGGTACCCGAAGTGAAGGAGTTAAAAAGAGACATCTTGGAGGAGGCACACTCCTCTCTGTATGCCATGCACCCGGGGATGACAAAAATGTATAATACCATCAAACCACACTTTTGGTGGCACGGAATGAAACGAGAAGTTGCAGAGTATGTTCAATCATGTCTTATATGCCAAAAGACAAAAGCTGAACACCGTGCCCCGGCTAGACTCCTGCAACCACTGCCCTTACCAGAATGGAAGTTTGAGAAGATAACAATGGACTTTGTGACTGGATTTCCACCCACCAGGAGTGGAAAAGATGCTGTTTGGGTAATTGTAGATCGGATGACAAAAGTCAGTCACTTCATCCCAATTCGATTTAAGCCAAGCATGGAGGAACTAGCGAGAATCTACATAGCACATGTGGTGCGGTTACATGGAGTACCTTTATCCATTGTGTCAGATAGAGACCCTAGTTTCACCTCCCACTTCTGGAAGAGCTTGCATGAAGCAATGGGGACAAAACTCAACTTCTCAACTGCATATCATCCCCAAACAGACGGTCAATCGGAAAGAACGATCCTAACTCTAGAGGAAATTTTACGAACTTGCATGATGGAAGTGGAAGGAACTTGGACCGATTTACTACCGATGGTAGAGTTTGCTTACAATAACTCATACCACAGTAGTATTCAGGCTGCTCCTTTTGAAGCTCTTTATGGCAGGAAGTGTCGAACACCTCTATGCTGGGATATAGAGGGCACCCGAATTCTTTCCGGACCGGAAATGATTCAAGAAACTACGGATAAGGTCAAAGTGATCAAAGAGAGACTGCGAGTAGCTCAAGATCGCCAGAAACTTTATGCCGACGGGAGAGCTCGTGAAGTAAGTTATGATGTGGGAGAAAAGGTGTTTCTAAAGGTATCACCATGGAAGGGATTAATGTGGTTTGGAAAGAAGGGGAAGTTGGCACCTCGTTACATCGGCCCCTATGACATTATTGCCAAAATTGGGCCGGTAGCTTACAAACTGGAGTTACCTACTGAGTTGGAGAAGATTCATAATGTTTTTCACGTGAGTATGTTGAAGAAGTATCATGTGGATCCCTCTCATGTCATACAACAAGAAGATGTGATCCTGGAACCTGATTTGACTTACGAAGAGAGGCCAGTGAGTATCGTGGACCAACAGATACGAGTGCTAAGGAACAAACGCATCCCGATGCTTAAGGTCATCTGGAGAAATCACGAAGGAGAAGCGGCAACTTGGGAGACTGAAGAAAGTATGACGAAGAAATACCCCGAGTTAGTCGAAGTATATTCTTCGAATATGACTCCCAACTAATGCTCGTTGTATTAAATCGACAATGTCGATAATGTATCGAATTTATGAATAAAAAGTCAGAAGAGACTTTTATTATACTATTTGATTTCGGGGACGAAATCCAATTAAGGAGGGGAGAGTTGTAACATCTCGTATCTGGGTTAAATCTCACATCAAACCGGTTCGACGTTGGAACAAAGAACACCAACAATAGTTGAAATGAATTCTACCGGTTTGGAAGAACTACGAGTACTCGTCAATTAAAGACGTGAAAAATCGAGAGAATAAATATGGCATGAAAGAATTATAATGAGGGAGAAAATACGAACGCGTCTCAAACATGAAAAGAGTATAAAAATAAAGTCAGGGCCAAGATTCGACCCAGTGACCTGAAGTCACTAAACTATCACCGCCACCAATTAGACTAAGAGGTGTTCGTGTCAATGAAATTCCTCTTAAGTTTAATTGAATGTTATCTAACGGGATTTACATATGAAGAAAGGGACAAAGCCTGGAGCTCCATGTTGTGGCTATTCATTCCATTGCAATAATAGCCGCCAGCATCATATATAATTATATAGTCGTCAACTCTTGGAAACGAAGACAACCACGTCACTCATGTATTATTTCTGTACAAATAATTCTAACTGATTAATCAATGCATGAGCTGGGCGACGTTAATATTCAACAACCATATTGTCGACAACTGACGCCACCGGAATGCTATATATAGTGAGAACCGAAGCTCAACACAAGGAAGGAAATAGGGAGAGAGAGATCAGTAAGAGTGTTGAGTGTTCTGGGTTTGGGAGGTCACCATAAGGTTCTGGGGAGGTCCCCCACGAAGCTAGAGGCGTCGTTGAAGCCTTGTCGGAGCCTCACCGGAGTTTCGTCGATATCCCGTGACGGCGACGACGTCAACTCCGACCTCAACCATTCTGTGAATGGTTGGTACCGTTACGAAGAGGACGATCCCAGGAGCACGCACGTTTCGACGGAATCAATTTTCGACGTCGGACGAGGGATAACCGAGCCTCGCAAGCTGGCCACGTAGAACTGTCAGTTTCTGAAAATCAGGTACTGTTTCTGTCAATTCGAAAAGTTTGAGGACCTAGGCGGACGTTTTCCATAGGAAGGGTCAACTCTCTGGTTGACCAGAAAATTATAAATTCAGTACCTGTTACTTCCAGAACTGACAGAATTCGTATTTTGGCCATGATTTGTTCGTTTGACGTCCAAACGACGAACCGTTTTCGCCTACAGGATCGTAAAGACGAGGAGAATTTTATCAAGGAGTATTGGAAATTTTTACAGCAGCTGTGCAGAGTAGATTTACGTCATAAATAAGGTGTGTGGACCCTGCGGTGAATAGGCGGTGTTTTACTACGTGCTATGTGTTTAATATTGAAACATAGCTGAGGATTTAACGAAGATAAAATGAAGAATGTCGTTATTATGATTTTGATACTCGAATAGAATTGGATGATTCATAATCGAGTATTTGGAAATTTACGATTTTGTAATTGATCCCTACGAGTCGTGGAATTCCTTGAGACTACGTTGTTACTATTTCAATAATTGATGACGTGATTTCATGCCATGAGTTATGTGAAATTCCGACTACGATATAATAATGCTCCTAATAAGACTACTTGGGATAATCATTAAACCACGAACGAATTCGTAATAATTTGAATAATGGACAGCTACCATGGGAGAATTCTGTCTAGGCTAGTGGTTTTTAATCGAGACCTTCGTGGTACTCGTCTACTTACCTGGGAATTCACTCGGTAAACTCTTTGGGAATACGGTTGTAAGAAGTGTACTACGAGTAGTGGCACTCATTCCTCTTCTCGGAGTTTTTACCACGGCGGGTCCGCCATTCGAATTACTCGGTGATTCACCGAATAAATGGTTATCGAACCATGTACGAGGATTTAAACCGTCCATCTTATACGTTGGATGTATGATAACGATAATGTTTGTGAATGAATTTCTACTTGATAATTTGATGGATGATATGATAATTTTATCGTATGCATGAGATGTAGAAATTAGCGTTTGGCATAGACTTGGTAATTACACCAAGATCGATTGAGATGGATGATTATTATATTGAGATTATGATGAGAATGATGATTTTATATGATGTTCATATTAATCACATAGACTTAGAAAGGGCCTGCATTTACCCCCAACCATTTGATATCATTACTGACGATCATTAGGATCGATGAGGCCAGTGGCCAGAGAGATATGATTGTGGTTTCTGATATAACCATTGAGATGATGAGGCTCGAGCGGGGGGTGGATGTATGGTGACCTTGGCGCCCAAATTAATAAAATGGAAATGCAATGCACTTGCACATTGTTTGGATATTGGATGCTAGGTTGAGAATTATATTAGGTTGAGACTTCAACCTAGATGCCATGATTAGGTGGTTAATCGATTGATGTGGAAAACGTATCCATAGACTTCGCCGTGTAGGAGGGAACAGCGCCACACACTCAGCTAAATTAGTTAGCTGACCCATTCCCCTTTTGTGTTCAGATCCGTAGCAGAGGGACCGAGCTTGGACGTTGGAGCTGTGCAACTGCTACTCCATCATGAGGTAGTGGACGATTGGTCGGAGGAGAGTTTTAACTATGTTTTGTGTTTTAAACCAAGTATCATAAACATGTATTATGTTGGATTTGATTGCATCGAACTTGATCGATTGAGTTATTATGATTTATGGATTGTACCAAAGTATGTAAGATGGAGATTTGAGTTTCAACGAACAAGTGTTTGGATTTGATGTCATGAGTTGGATGTTGTATGTTTAATAAATGAGATTGGATATTAATAAATGTGTTAGATTTGAAATATATATATGTTCACCTCGAGTTATGTTTAGTAAACGAAAGTTACATATGTGTTGAATGATGAGTTAATACGTAAACCCCGTTAGTATTTTCTGCTGTGCGGGCGAACCAGTGGTTCGACCCATGAGTTTTAGGGTGGGGTGTTACAACTGGTATCAGAGCCTGGTTAGCCTTCTGCATTATAGGTATGTTACTTCCACCCCTGAGGACTAGCTACCCTTAGCAAGGGAGAAGTACTCCATACCCGTACTTGCACTAGCCTAGCTGGGGACTGAGACTAAAACATGATGATGTGTGCATAGTCTGAGTCAGTTACATCGTTTTGAAAAGTTATTTATGTATTTTCGAATGAAATGGGAAAGAGTTCCTACAATTTTATTTAAACCTACCTTTTAAAGCGAGAACTAAAAATTGATTTTTCCTCCTCCATAGTGACCAATCGGAGCATAACAGCTACACACCTCCAGCTGGGAATCCACAAGGGACGGGAGTGACGATGGAAGTATTGTGGAAAAACCGTCTACGCGAATTCAAAGGGGAGTCGACAGATCCCCAAGAAGCGGTTGACTGGCTTAGAGAGACGGACGTACAATTTGACTACCTCCGTTACAACGAGAGGCAGAGACTGGAGGCGTTGATAATGCTTTTAAAAGGACATGCGCTGCGTTGGTGGAAATCTCAAAAGGCTGGAGTAACCTTTCCACCAACCATCTCATATCAGGAGTTCATGGTCTTGTTCAAAAATGCTTTCTTTCCTCGTCAATGGCTAAACCAGAAAAGGCGAGAGTTTGACAACCTGAAGCAAGAAGATAACACGGTCATGGCTTACTACTTGCGGTTCTTTGAACTCTCTGAATGGTTTGATATCGAGGAAGATCGGGAGAGGAGGCTAGCTGAACAATTCCTTGATGGTCTTCGACCAAACATCAAGGCGGGAGTATCTTCGGGAGACATGACGGACCTAACCAGTATCAAACAGGCTGCACTAAGGAGAGAATGCATAGAGGATGAAAAGAAGCAAGCATGGAAAGAGAAGGGCGAACTGACGTTTGGAGGACTTTCTTCGCTGACGGCTAGACTGAGAGGGTGAACAGATGTTTGGAGGACTTTCTTCGCTGTATGACTTTTCATCGCCCGCAGGATTGGGCTGCTTGGATTACTCTGGCCGAGTGGTGTTATAACACTCATTTTCAGGTCAGCATCCGTCTCACGCCATTCGAAGCCTTCTATGGGTTCCCTCCTTCTTTCTTTGGTATGTCGGGCATGGAGTCCTCGCCGGTTGGGGCTGTCGAGGATCGCTTCGCTCGTCAACAGCAGCTGGTCACTTTTCTGCGTCACAACTTGTCGGTGGCCCAGAACAGGCAGAAGCAATATGTTGACAAGCGGAGATCGGACCGTTCTTTTCGGGTGGGAGAGCATGTGTATCTCCGCCTCCAGCCTTTTAGGCAGGGGTCGGTGGTTGGCAGGCAGGGTTGCAAGCTGGGACCTCGGTTTTTCGGGCCTTACCAGGTGTTGTCTCGGGTAGGGGCTGTGGCCTACAAATTGCGGCTGCCAGATGACGCCAGGATTCATCCGATTTTCCACGTGTCGCAGTTGAAGCGCTGCTGTTCACCCACCATTCCTGCTGTGTCTGCTCTCCCCGGGGTTGATGAATAAGGGACGTTGAAGCTACAGCCGGAAGAGGTTCTTGCTCGCCGTTTTGTGCAGCAGGAAGACCGCGCCGTGACGCAGATTCTGGTTCATTGGACTCATCAGTCTCCTGCCGACGCCACTTGGGAGGATTATCATTCATTCAGGCTTCAGTTTCCTTCCTTTCCAGCTTGAGGACAAGCTGTGTCTTTACGGGGGAGGATTTGTAATGACCCAGGACTACCACTGAGTGAATGGATGACAGCTGGAGGAAGTATAAATAGGAAGAGAGGAGTCGTGTAATAGCTATCTTTGGTCATTTTCCCAGAATTGTTTTCCAGAATAGCTTGTAGATAGATATTCATTTGTACTCGTCTCTGTAAAACTCTGCTCCTCCCTTTTGCTGGAATAAACAACGATCCCTATTCCTTACATTCGTCTTCTTCCCCGGCTCGAACATCTCCAGCGGCGATGCATCCAGTGGGACTGATGACACCCTCCATTCATTCCATCGAATTAGTCTTGCCCTAGCATCCACGTCTAGCTTCGGCTTGAAGAATCTCTTGCTAAAAAAATCACTCTCAAACGCAGGCCCTTGCAAGATTTTATCCAATCTCGCTGTTTAGTTCTAGCAAACGACATGGCCGTGAATTCGGAGGTCCGTTGGTTCTTTTATTTTTCTTCAATGAGTTCCTACTTAGTCTATTGCTAATTCCTTGTTCCATTTTCAGGATAATCACACCATCGGTTGTTCATGAAATCAGTAAAATCTTCCACCAACATATCAATGATCCTTGGACAACATTCTCTCAGTTTCCTAAACAAGAATTGGATGCGTTATATGCAAGTTTCAATGAAGCAGGATTCAACTATTCACTTACAGAAGAAGAAGTGGAGCAAGCAGTTAATTAAACACTATGTCAAGATCCAATAGTATTTTTTCGCAAACATATCATCGCGAATTGTATTTTTTCGTCAAACCAAATAATTTAGTGACAACTACATATCATTGCTAATAGTTTTTTTTTACAAGATTTAGCAATGTTACGAATATTGGAATCCTTATTTGTGATATCCCTCGTTCGTCGTAATATAATATTTGTGACGGTGTTCAATTGTCCCAAATACCATTAAATGTCGTCCAAAAGGTATATTACCGATGACTTTATTAATTATAGAGACAGATATGTATCGTCCTAAATAGACAACGTCGTAAAAAAAGTATTACCGATGACTTTTTTAATCATAGCGACGACTATGTCTCGTCAAAAAAACGAACAATATCGTCAATCTTCTTCAATGAGAATTTATTACTGACGAGATCATTAATTTTCGTGACGATTCTTTGTCGTCACAAAAACAAAACTATGTAGTTCGTTAATTTGAATAGGCATTAGAGATGACCCCAACCCGTCAAACACCTTTTACGACGGCTCGTCATGAAGAAAGTTTTTGTGACGCTCTTATTTGGAACGGCGTGCGACGGCCTTATGGCGTCGAAAAACCCCATTTGCGACCACATTTGGCCTTTATCGACGGAAATCTCTGGTCAGTAATGACACACTTTTTTGTAGTGGTGGTAACTTGTGGTAAACAATGATGAAAGGCGTATATGATAGTTAGTATACTCCTACTATCATGTATTCAACCTTCTTACCATTGGTATGTTCATACCATCATGGTACGCTTTCTTACCATATGGTATTAAATATGAGCATACCATATGGTAATGACTGGTAAAAAACTATTCAATTTTTTGTACTAAAAATATATCAAAGTTAATATCATTTTAAAGAGCACATTTAATCTGATTTATCTGTGCAAAAAATTTTAAATTTTGACTTAAAACGAGATAGAAATCGTCCGCTAAAGATTAAATGGGAAAAGATAAAAGGCTTTCCAGGAGAGAGGGTATGTTGATGTCATGCGGATGTGGACAGGTTCCTAATGGTTACTCACCATAAGGGTTACTGACCTGATCCGCTTCCCAAAGCTTGTATGCTTCCTTTTCATTGCCTTATGTCTTTCTCTTATTTATATTCATAATGGAATTAACCTAATGCACCACAGCTATATATCCCATTAATAAACACAAGGGAAAAGAGGTCATACATGGTCGGTTGAGAAAGGAAAAGGGAGGAAAGAAAATCAAAAGAAAAGAAACAGATGGTAGCATCTTGTGAAAGGGAACACATGGAGATAAATTATTTGGCTCCACTGATAATTTGTTTTCCCTTTTCGATCAGTGCAACGGCGATAATTGAGTTCTTCCGAATCGGGATTCTCGATCGTAGATCGATTCGTGGGCAACGAATAGGAACCATACGGTAATCCACCTATTTGGTAAATAAGATAGGAACTAAACGTTTTAAAATTATTAGTAACCGAACATGAAAAGTTAGCGTTACCGATCTGGAGCTGAGCCACGGACAATGTCGCTATCTTTAAGACGTTCGCGACATTGCCTTTATTGCTCAAGTAGCCTACTTTGGAGACTGGGTTCTCTCAATTGGCTAACTAAAATTGGATTTCAAGGGCTGGTTTTGAAGATACCGTTGCCATCTTTCCAATGATTTGCTTTTTGGATCCAGAAGATGTCATTAAGGTTGTTTTCCAAGGCCTCAAAGTTGTACCTCAAAACTGGAAAACTGCCAGAAAATGGTTAAGTCTGGAAACTTGTTTGTGAAGCCTACTTTGGAGCTCAATTCGAGGAGCATGAATGTGATTCAAACAAAGTGGCTTCCATAGCATGAAACTAGGTATGTTTTTATACAAAGGGAAGGAATTGGATGAAGGATTGGAGTTCTGGAAGGCCTTGAACGAAAGATAGTTTAATCCGAATTTTGTATCCTTTTTAGTGTAGGCTTTTATCTTAATTGTTTTCTAATTCTATTAGGTTTGTATTAGGTTTTTAATGTCTTTAAATAGCTTTCAATTTACGTTGTAATAGTTAGATAGAAAATTATTGAATGAAAGTTACTCCGAGGAGTTAACCCCATTAAGCTTGCGAGCTTGATTTTTGGTCTTGGATTCGTCCTATGCTTGCAGACTTCTCTTTCAAGCGATTCCCACTTGTTTGAGTAGTGATTCTACCCTTCGAACTGATCGAGCTTATCCCCAAGTGAGGATTTATCTTTTTCATTCAAACCCATCCTAAATCCTACCAAAAACATTCTGTTTTTGGTATCATATTCAATCCGTTGAGTTGAAAGAGCTGCATACTTTGATAAACATACAACCCCCTAGGGTCGTACTAAATGGCATCAGAGCCTGGTTCAAGTCATTGGCGAGAAGGATTGAAGGCTGAGTTTCGTACAACAAAATTTAGCACAAAAAATAGAGTACTATGGATACCGGGGAGCTAGTACGTTCGATGATTTTTTACGCGTTGTTCAAACAAACAGAAAACGTGTTTGGTTCTTGTTGATGGAGGTAGGGAGAGGAATTTGATTTCCTCTAGGGTCGTGAGCAAGTTAGGGTTGCAATCACGTTTACATCCAGCTCCCTACACTGTTCAATTACCGTATGAGAAATACCCAAGTTTTGTGATTTCGCAAGTGGATGTGAAATTCTCGATTGGCCAGTAAGAAGACCAGATTCTTTGCGACGTGGTTTACAATCTGCCCAGTCATATTGTGTTGGGTAAGCCTTCGTTTCGTAATCGAAAAGTCGAGTTTGTTAGCAGAAGAAGCTGAAATTTCAGAGTCTGAAAACAAACTAAAACTTTCCTCTTGAATCCATTGCCTCCAGAACAAGCTGCTGGTGATTTGAAGGAGGTCAAACAACTCCAGGAGAAGTACCAGAAGGCCTTATGGTCCAAGTTGTTGTCGACGAGAGGAAAAAATGTCCAGACCCAGCCAAAGCAAGACAACCCCTGTTTTTCGCTGAAAAAACAGAGGGTCGACACTGCCTTACTGCCGACGAAGAGGAAAGGAAACCGGAGCACGCCGAGGCCATAGACGAGTCCCTAGGAGTTGAAGTAAGACTGGAGAAGCGAGGAGAAGGCCCCGAACAAACTGAAGACTCTCAAATCATCTTGGCGACGAGCGTAGTCAAGTTCCAATCTGTTTCAGAGAAACAGAGTGCGCGAACGGCTCTCGTGGCAGTAACAAACGGCGAAGAGTCGAACTCAGCCACCATTGCCGAAACACTTAATCCGAACCAGGAATCTCAGTTGTTGTTTCATTGGGTGTGATCATACCTCAAATTGCATAATCAATCTGCCGAAAATCGCCTCTTTTCGTGGAGGACACTGCCGACGAAGACACTCTAATGGGTAGAGCAATCCAACTCGATTCGAGCAAATTCAATGCTACAAAATCATTCATGGAGGTCAATGGAACGTGTAGAAGTAGGCAATTTGCTCCGACTAAATCCCAATCGAAAACTCCCAATTTGAAAAAATTTGGCTGAAAGTTTGAAGAAGAAAAGAACGAATCGATTGGAGCGATTGGGAGTGAATCGATGGAAAAGAAGGCTTTGGACAAGTTTATGGAGGTCCAAGGAAGGAGTAGGGACGATCAATTCGTTTTGGAAAAGCCAAAATAAAAAACGCCCAATTCAACTTTGGGGTCGCCGGAATTTGGGTTCGTCTCGCCGGAATCTGAGTTTTTGCTGCCAGATTCTGGAAATTTGAAATTCCCAACGGCTGGAAATTTGGAAAGGCTGAATTGAGACGAATCTACGATGGAAGCAGGCTGGGAGTTGCTGGAATCGATTTCTGGGATCCTGGGAAGTCGATTATGAGTGGTGAATTGGAACGAGCAAGCTTCCAGAGGAAAGTCCCAAATTTGGTACCTTTTTGCCATGCAACGTACCAAGCTTGTTTGTTTTTTTATCATCATGGACCATTATGTAATTGTTGGCCTTTTGTCGGTACCTTTTTCTTTGTTTAAGTTGGACTTGGATTCTTGTTAGCCTTCTCTATAAAGGCTGTCTGTCTTTGCGTTTGGAGTTAGTTTTTTCGAGATTGGAATAAAAGAAGAAAAGAGGAGCTTTTCCTCGTAAATATCGTCTCTCGGGCATTCGTGGAATCAACGAGTTGCGATAGGCTCTACCCTTACCCACGCATGCTGCATCAGGTACACTCGCCGGAAAATTTGAGTCCGCCGAAAACTGGAATTTTGGGAGGACGAGTTCTGGGTTCGATTGAGCAGATTGTGTGCATGAGAAACGTCCATTGGAGTCCCACGAATGTCAATGAAATCGAATCGTGGAAAACAACGTCGATATCAAGCGTTAACAAAGCTTCGAAGTTCAGATTGTCGTGTTCAGGGTATCACTTTCATTACCCGATTTGTGAAGCTTTCATTGACGATTTTGATTGCAGGTCAACACAAGCTTTGAGGGCAAAGCTTTTTGAAGAGGGGGAGCCTGATATATTCCCAAACGGTCAACTATACACGTTTAAATTACTTGACGAAGAAGCTATCGCAGTTGGGAAGAAGAAAGGCAGCATGTGGTTAAGTGTTGGAACAGTTACAAGTAGCCTACTTTGGAGGCTTGGTTCTCTCAATTGGCTCACTGAAAATTGGAGTTCAAGGGCTTGTTTTGAAGATAAAGTTGCCATATTTCAAATGCTTTGCATTTTGGATCCAGAAGATGTCATTAAGGTTGCTTTCCAAGGCCTCAAATTTGCTACTTCAAAACTAGAAAACTGCCAGAAAATGGTTTAAGTCTGGAAACATGTTTGTGAAGCCTACTTTGGAGCTCAATTCGAGGAGCATGGATGTGATTCAAGTAAAGTGGCTTCCAAAAAATGAAAATAGGTATATTTATATACAAAGGAAAGGAATTGGATGAAGGATTGGAGTTCTGGAAGGCCTCGAACGAAAGGTGTGAAGTTAGTACGAAAGCTGCGTTTGGACTGTTTGCTGGCAGCATACATGCGCTTGAAGAAAGAGAGTTTCAATCCGAATTTTGTGTCCTTTTTAGTGTAGACTTTTACCTGGATTTTTTTCTAGTTCTATTTGATTTGTATTGGGTTTTTAATGTATTTAAATAGCTTTCAATTTACGTTGTAATAGTTAGATAGAAAACTGTTGAATGAAAGTTACTCCAAGGAGTTAACCCCATTAAGCTTGCGAGCTTGATTTTTGGTCTTGGATTCGTCCTAGGCTTGCAGACTTCTCTTTCAAGCGATTCCCACTTGTTTGAGTAGTGATTCTACCCTTCGAAACTGATCGAGCTTATCCTAAGTGAGGATTTGTCCTTTTGGTTCAAACCCATCCCAAATCGTACCAAAAGCATTCTATTTTCGGTATCATATTCAATTCAATCCATTGAGTTGAAAGAGCTGCGTACTTTGATAAACATACAACCCCCCTAGGGTCGTATTGAAAATAGCTCATCTAGATGCTCGGCGATTTTGTGCGAAAACCGGAGCTCTCTGAATACACTCTCTTTTGTGTTTCAGCTCTCTGAGGTGTGTTTAGAGGGTCTGGGTAGTGCTCTATTTATAGGAGCAAAAACCCTAAAATATTCCCTCTTTCGTGGGAAAGAAGTCACCCTTAATTAAGAAGATAAATACTCCCACAATTAAATTGTGTTCTATTAGATAATTAACTCGAATTATCTTCCTGATATTCCTTTTATTAATTATCATCCTTAAAATCTGAGAGGAAATGTGATCCCTATTATTTGATGAAATACTTAAAGAAATAATATTGTTGAAAGTAACACTGCTTGAGATTTCAATTTTGGCAGTGCTATTGGTTCCACTTATAACAAAAATCAAAATTACCAGAGCCTATATCATATAAACACGGACCATTCTTCTTGACAATCCATACGCAATGGCGGCAACGTCTGTAATCCCTCTCATATGTGTAAATATCAAACCAATGAAGTTTTCCCTCTCCCCAGTCCATCGAGCAGTAGAACAAAGTAGTTCCCCATATGTTTGCACGAAACTTAAAAACGAAGTATTCACGTGTCTTCAATGTACGGACACCAAGGTCATCGTCTTTCGATTTGCAATGAACTCTCAATTCCGCACCTCCTTCTATTCGATTCTCCACCTGTACCATTGATACAGGACGAAACCACTTAATAGGATTCCATTTTTCCTCGACGAGACATGTAGTTAGTGTTGGCAATAAGATCAGAGCAACTAAAATAACATGATTTTGGAACATTATCTTTGGTTTTTAGGAAAAAATCCAAAAGTACCACTGTTTAAAAAAAAATTCCAAAAATACCACTCAATCCCAAAAAATTCCAAAAATACCACCCTTTTTCAAAAACCGCCACCCCACCGAGCGGTTTGGTCGAAAACCGCTTGTCGGGGGCGCGGTTTTGGACCAAACCGCGGGCCTAGGGGGCGGTTATAAAAAAAAAAAAATTTGGACCAAAACCGCTGGGTGGGGTGGCGGTTTGGCCCAAAACCGCCACCCCAACCAGCGGTTTGGTCCAAAAATTCGGTCGAAACTTCAAACAAACGTAACTTTGCACTCGGATATACGATCGTAGCGATTTTTTTTTTCATTTCGCATAACTTTTCAAGATCTACAACTTTTATTAGGATGAAATTTTCAAAACAGGAACTATTTGTGGATATACGGGACCTTGAGAATAACTTTACCTTTACTTTTCAGAAATCCATGTGCATTTTGAAATTATGATTATATTAAAAGTTGTAGATCTTGAAAAGTTATGCGGAATAAAAAAAAAATTCATGACATTCGGATTTTAGAGCACAAAGTTATGGCCGCCCAAAGTTTGACGAAATAAAAAAAAAATGCCGTTCGGGGTGGCAAATGACGTTTTTTCGAGACGAAGACGGAACCCGACTGTTTGAGACTTGCAAGATCTCAAAAAGTGATTCGGATTCAAAAAATGGAGGCCGCAAACTTTTTGAGATCTTGCAAGCCGCAAACCGCCGGGTCTCGCCTTTCGTCAAACTTTGGGCGGCCATAACTTTGTGCTCCAAACTCCGAATGTTATGAACTTTTTTTTGATTCCGCATAACTTTTCAAGATCTACAACTTTTAATATAATCATAATTTCAAAATGTACATGGATTTCTGAAAAGTAAAGGTAAGTTATTCTCAAGGTCCCGTATATCCACAAATAGTTCCTGTTTTGAAAATTTCATCCTAGTAAAAGTTGTAGATCTTGAAAAGTTATGCGAAATGAAAAAAAAAATCGCTACGATCGTATATCCGAGTGCAAAGTTACGTTCGTTTGAAGTTTCGACCGAACTTTTGGACCAAACCGCTGGTTGGGGTGGCGGTTTTGGGCCAAACCGCCACCCCACCCAGCGGTTTTGGTCCAATTTTTTTTTTTTTTTATAACCGCCCCCTAGGCCCGCGGTTTGGTACAAAACCGCGCCCCCGACAAGCGGTTTTCGACCAAACCGCTGGGTGGGGTGGCGGTTTTTGAAAAAGGGTGGTATTTTTGGAATTTTTTGGGGTTCGGTGGTATTTTTGGAAATTTTTTTCTAAACAGTGGTACTTTTGGATTTTTTCCTGGTTTTTATGTATTCTTTGATGACCATCGGAGGTATGTAAGGTATGAGCAATAATTATAGGTAGGAGATTATATATGGGAGTGAGGTTGTTGTGGTGTGCGTGACATATTCCTACATAGATAAAATCTGTTCCACAAATCTATCAACAAGTTGAATTGCTTGGTAAGGATAAAACAACTCATGGATAATAGTTCATGATTTTCGGAATAATTGTTGGGAAATTTGACCATTCCAACCCTTTTTTTTATTCCAGAGATAACCGAGATGACCATTCCAATCCCAAAGCTCATTTTCCTTCAATTTTAACTTATTTTTCCGTCAATAATCATTAAATGACAAATATGAAGTTTTTCCTAGCACAAAAGTGCTACCCGAGTAGTTCTTTGGGATGAGATTAGTTGCTGATTCCATGGAGATTAATATCATGCTAAATACTATGATAGTCATTAATTAGATTGAAATAATAACTTGCGACACACTTACCTTCAACTTACACCTGCTTGTGGCAATGGTTCTTGTGACACACTTACCTTCAACTTACACCTGCTTGTTGGAGGTGGTAGACCGCTTCCGTCAAAACAGTCTATCGATTCTGCAAAATGGTACGTACCTCTTTTGGCGAACGATCTCCTCTTTCGGCGAACAGTCGACCAGATGACACAGTTATCTTATACCTACATTGGAATAATAATGGACTATAAGAGACCAACAATTTAAATTTTTTTGTAGTAATGTAACATCCTATCACATGTGGGGGCAACCAAATTCCTACGCAAATTATAGGTCAAGAAAAAAAAAAGAAACAACCTCTTTTCACTTCTAGAATAAAAATTCACATTAGCGATGATATTAGATTTATGGAGGTAGAAAATGACACAATTATATAACAAATAAGCTCTACTTTTGAGCATCTTTATAACAACCGTAGCAACAAAGTTGATCCATCACAAGAACTCTATAGGATAGAAACAAGAAAACGTAGAATTTGAAGGAAAGAGTCTCTGTACAGTAAGTCAAATATGAGAAATAAATGTGCGGAACATTTTTCAAATATATGGGAGAACAATCACTCGGGAAACTTGTCATCTATGCTTGCATCTTTTGTACTTATTTTAAATCTCTTACTAGCAAGAATATCTATTATTATCGGACTTTAATTATATACGATGATATCACTAGCAATGGTTCATCAGGTGAACCAATTATTGAAAGTGGTGGACCGCTTGGGGAAAGAGGTAGACCACTTCATGGAAGTGGTAGAGTATTTTTTTTTTTTTTTTTGTATAGTAGACCACCTTTTAGTGGAAGAAGTCAACCATTTGTTGAACATAGTAAAATGAACAATAGTACATCTGGTCGACCATTTTGTCCAAATACCATATCAGTGAAGAGGTCGATCAATATGTCTAAATAGGTCAACCATTCAGCGAAGAGGTAGACCGTTTTGTCCAAATAGGTCGACCATATCAGTGAAGAGGTCAACCGTTTTGTCCAAATAGGTTACCATATCAGTGAAGAGGTTGTAGGTCAGCACTCGTGGCTAACCTCCCACCATGAACTCCACTCTCGATAGACTCTTCTTGCTTGCCGCGACGATATGGGAGAAGGTGGAGTAGAACTCCATGCAGAGCTCATGGTAGATCTCCTCGTCCACCGTCAGGAGCTGGTTCCACTAGGGGTGACAAAGCACCCTGGTCATCGCGGCTCGTCACCTGAACAGGTTTAATATGTCCAGGTCCAACCGCCAATGAGGCCCAATCGGGCTGCCACTCTGGTAGGCGAACTTGTCGCCAAAATCTCGGTGATGCACCAGATAGCGGATGTATTCGTGCTCCACGTTGACCATCCTGCACAAATTGACAAACATACACCATACGTGGAAACATTCATCAAACAATGCTTATTGGGAGGAAAAGAGATCCCCCCCCCCCCACACACACACTTATTTTTCCACCATGGATATCTAACATTTAAGCTCAAGCACACCGTGGCATGGTTGTCGGTATTTCATGGTTCATTCACACAAAAGTTCGAACTACAACCCAAACCAGGGTGGCTACCATCCACCAAACAAGAAAAAAGGTTCACATGCATTAACAACATAGCACTTGGTGGGCAAATTCTAAAAATAAAGACGATTCAGTTCAAACACGCCCACCAAGGCTCAACTAAGCTCATGCAAAATCATTCCACCATTCAATCGACCTAACTCACCTAATTCCTCGCCCTAAATCTAGGTTCAACATTCAAAGCACAAAAATCATCCTCACTTCACTACCTAATCCAATTCTCCCAAAAATAACAAGGTAGAGCTAAAAAACAAACCTGGAGGCGCAAGTAGGACGTATGAGGAAGTGAGGTGCGGGCGAGGAAGGAGAAAATGGCCGAAAAACAGACCGGAGAGGGGTCTCCGGAGCTTCGTCGGAAGCTCACCGGAGACTCGCCACCGGTGACTTGACCGGAAAAAACTTGCCCCAAATCTCCCCAAACTTGCAGCACAGGCCAGGTTTGATGAGGGTAGAATGGATATGAAGTTGGTTTTGGATTTTGTTCGCCGGAATTAGCGGAAAAATCGAAAACTCGTCGGAATTTCGCGGTTTTCCGGCGAGATTTTGGGTCGTAAAGTGTACAGTCGTCGTTCACACCCCTTTTATAGGCACAACACGGAGTTCACGGACGCGTTGCCTTGTTCACGGTCTTAGCGACCGTGAACACTCAAATGCGTCTGTGAACTGCGGTTGGTCGATAGATGATGAAGCGTGTTGGGTCTAGATTTTCTCATGTCCTTGAGCTTGTAAAACCATCCATTCGGGATCATGTTTGATAATCTAAACCGATGTTTCAACCCCATGTCTCTTCTTTTGTCCTTGTTCTTCTTTCTGTATGGGATTTTTTTTTATTTGCTGGAGATGAAAGATAAGTAGAAAGAGAGGGCTATATAACTATCATAGGAGAAGAGTCACAAAAGGTAGTTTTCTGATGATAAGGGGGTTATAAAGAAGAGTCACAAAGGGAGGGAGCATAAATGAGACATCATCAGGCTGACATAGCTTTTGGAGAATGATAGGCGGGACCCAGGGTGGGAGACAAAGGGATGTATATAAAAATTGGCCTTTTTTGCTTTCATCACTAAGAACCAGCAAAGATTTGCGTAATTTAGTTGATTTTTGTTGGGTTGTGAATCGTCTCTATGAGATTTTTTAATCCAAAATAAGCCCCACAGTCGTGGTCGGACAACAGGTATAAAAAACGTATAATAATAAAGAATGGTAGCCCGTATGAAACCAGACTCCCGATGAAGGAGCATGTTATGACACTAGTGGGTAGCTCTGAGAAAGCTCCAATGAGAGAAAAGACACGAAATTGACACGAGGACAGGAATAGAAAAAAAAATCTATGTAAGTGGCTCCGGCTCAGAGAAGGGAGGACTTTCTTGATGTAGGATCCATGGTGACCAGTTGAGAATTCCCAAAACATGTGACAATGAATTCACTATGAGTAAGATACCATCTCGTAGCATCACTAAAGAAAAATAATGTTGATATGTAAGCATTGATAACACCATAATAGGATTTACCAAAAGTAAATGAAAGAGTTCCATCACCTCATAAGTCGATGGAGCCTATGGATATCCTTGAGAATGCTTTGATATGACTAAATAAACCA